GCGCATCATAGCGACTGGTTGACCTGTCGTTCCAGTTGTTCAGTCATAACGCTCGCTTAGGATTTTATATATATATAGACTAGACGCCTGGTGCACGAAATTCATGCACGGGGGTGGGGTGGGGGGTTCCTCAGCCCAGCTTGGACCCTCTCGCAATCCAGGACCACTTGGGGGATTTCTGCAGGATCGGGCCTAAATTGGCAATTGGACATCCCTCTCGCAATCTGGGACCGCTGGCTCCTAACTGCTGGCCTGCCTGATCACCCCTAACCACTTTTTCTGCCTGCCTCATAGCCCCCAACCACTCGCCTGCCTGCCTGATCACCCCTAACCCCTCTGCCTGCCTGCCTGCCTGATTGCCTCTAACTGCTCGCCTGCCTGCCTGATCACCCCTAATTGCTCGCCTGTCTGCCTGATCGCCCTAACTGCCTCTGCCTGCCTGCCTGATCACCCCTAACCACTTACCTGCCTGCCTGATCACCCCTAACCACCTCTGCCTTGGCCCCGGCCTCTGCGGCTTTGTCCGGAATAATGTCCAGAAGGTCGTTCAGCTGTCCGGTCTAATTAGCATATTACGCTTTTATTATTATAGAAAATCTGGTAGTTAGAAATACAGGCTTTGCCAAACATCAATTATTTTGGGCAAGAACATTTCATTGCTGGCTTGTTCATGAGGAGGTATACAATGTCTTGACTTTTCTCTCTTTCATGGCACTACTGATCATTGCTATAGTCTTCTCCCTCTTAATTTTCAGGATATTTGTTACTGCATTCTTCTGCCATAAGACTGCCAGTAACAAACAACAAAATGTGTTTTGTAGCACATTGCTACCAGGCAATGTAGCTGTTAACATGATAAATATTCTTGGATGTGAGCCCAAGTTTTGTTCAGTTTTATGTGTTTATCCTCATACATTTACTTTGTATTGCTGTGTCTAATTCTAAGTGTGAGCTCTGAGAAGCCACTCAGTCAGTCATTCACCGGGCTCTTATTGAGTGCTCCACACGGAATACACAAGGAAGTAAGAATCTCATTCAGGAGACACACAAACAAATAGTTAAAACACAGCATTGGAAGTTCTTTTAGAGGGCTGAGCTGAAGTCAGCATGAGGGCGTTTTGTGTGATGGTGGAGTTCATTTCTACAGGGATCTTGGGGACGCCAGGTGCTTTGTAGATACAGAGGGAAGGACATCCACTTGGGACCGAGAGAGCCACACACGCAGGCACGTGGCCCTGTGGGAGCCCCTGAGCAGTCCGTGGGGTGCCCCGGGAGAGGCCCAGGTGAAGCTGGAGTGGCAGCTGGAGGGTATTTGATGAGCTGCTCTGTACCAGACCAAGGACTGGACTCATTGTGCGGGCACTGAGGAGGAGGCCTCGGCCATGCAGTGCACCATGCCATCCGTGGTTTAGCATGTCTGCTGTGCGAACATGTGGGCCAGCGAGTGTGGCCCAAAATGGCCAGTGAAGGTGCTGGCAGTTGGAAAGGGGGAGGGGATGGCCTTGGCAGTGATTTGGGGTTTGGTGAAGCGTCAGATGGGTGTGGATCGTGAAGGCGATCAGCTGTAAGGACAATCAGAGAGTCATTTGTGGACACGATGAGTGCATAGGGCTCTACCTACAGTAGAGATGGTCACAGTGGAGAAAGTACACGGCACTGGAAGTAGAGATTCGGAAGTCTCGCCCTCCACGTCAGCGTGGAGGCCTGGGGTAAAGTCTGAGGGACCCAGCTTTCGAGGCGCAGACAGACACAGGAGGCAGCAGCGGAGCCTCGTGTGAACGTAATCTGTGATTATGTTGGGACACTTCTTGCTAACGGTGCACAGAATAAACGAAGATAAAGCACAGATGCTCATCACTGGCCATGCCCTGGCGGAGGAGGCTGAGCGGCCAAGCTGAGTGTGGCGCTGGAAGGAGTGTGTGGGCCTGTGGCCGCGGGGCTGCCGCCTCTGATGGCTCCTGGGAAACAGGTGCTGCGTTCTATTGTCACCTCTCTCAAAAGGGAAAATTCTCTTCTGTTAGCAAAACAGGGACCGATGTAGAGCTTTCCTAAAAGTGAGGTGGCATAAAGCGAACTTGGGAAAAGTGGGCGATACCCCACTTCCCAGTGTGACAGTCAGTGAGGGGCGCGCTTTGCGTGCGTGTGGCAGGGGCTCAGTCATGGTGTGTGTGCAAACTAGGGCACAGGCTGGTGTGCTCTGTTTAGACTTGTGAGAAGCAAGGCCGGCAGTGACGCTCTAAAACAGGGCGGCTGTGCTGTAGTCTGTGATGCTGGTGTCGCTCTCTTATTGTTGTTGAAGTACTTACTCTCTTTACTCTTCCTGAAATGAAAGTGAGGACGTACCAGAACGCGAAAACGCACAGAAGGGGGAAGCTCAGGTTTGCTAGGAGATATAACTCATGTCTTTGTTAAAACAGCCAAGCACAGACTGTCTAGTCCCAGTGTAAGTCACATGGCGATGATGATGGCCTTCATTCAAAACTGGGGACCTTTCTGGATGTTCTGTCAGTGAAATTAATGCTTCCGTTCAAACATAAAATTGAGGCGGAACAAGTCCCATTTTCAGGGATTCTCACTATTGTGTGGTGTC